CCTCACCATTCTCTTAGCATGTCCTGGGGTCCCCGAGGTGCAGCCAAGCCCCCAGCCAAGTCTCCCCCCAAAATGCATCAAGGCCATAAACCCCTCTTCTATATACATACATATATATTCATATATTTTAAACCAGAATTTCCATCCTCAGTTGATATTCTCACTCATCCCCATGCAGCACCAGTGGGGGACCGATCACCATCACTGGCTCAGGTTTGTCATCTGTATGCATCAATCTCAAGACAAAGATGAGTACATATTTAAAAAAGAAGAAAGCAAGCCATTCCAGAATGGGAGTTGTTTAGATAATTGATTTCCCTTGGACTCACAAGCACTAAATAACACCCTCAGAGCTGCATCTCCCAGATAACCTTTTCCTTCAAATCGCTCTTCCTAAGGACTGGCCTTTGACAGAGGCATCTCGCAAAGTGCAAATCCAGCAAGCTTTAAGCAAGCTCGTAGGTAAGACCTTTCCGAGAGAACGCCACGATGATTCCTCAAGCAATTATTTTTTCTTGGTATCCTTCGCATAGAGAGAGCTAATTAACTGCCTGCCAGGTTCCGCGGATTCACAGCGAAAAATGAAGTAGTACAAATGTCATAATTAATTAGCGGTTTAATGCTAGAATGAACACAGCAAAGGTGCTATAAATATTCAGGCAACGGGACCTCTACGCTAGCACGTGCTTGTGGCACAGACCTGTCTTGTGGGACCCTGGACTGACCCCAGATCTGCACCCAACAGCCCAGCCAAGAGCCCAAGCACTGCATGCCCAGCATGGGGCGTGCGTGAGCCTTGCTCCCATGGAGCTCCTCCTCTCCCCTGCTGGATGCCCCCTGCTCGGCTCAGCCTCCCGGCGTGAGGGCTCCCAGTAACTATGGTTACTTCTAATTGTGCAGGGAAAATTATTCCGACTTCAAAGGTAATGGAGAGGATCCTTCAGGAAGTCAACACTCTGTCATTTCCTCCTGCTGCATCTACCCCTAACCCAAGGAGTCACCTTGACCGCACGCTGACTTCAGGATGCCAACAAAGGAAACCAAGGGATGTCATCAAATGAGGATCAAGGTTTCCCCCCCCCCCCCTTTTTTTTTTTCCCCTTTCCAAAGAGAGCCCACGTGATGCTAGATGCCAATCTGTCTGCAGGGAGTGGTGGTGTCACCTGGAGGCGACCCAGAGCCGTGGGATGTGGCACTGAGAGACGTGGGCAATGGGCACGGTGGGGTAGGTTGGAGTTGGACTGGATGATCGCTTAGCGGTCTTCTCTACCTTCACGATTCTAGGATTCTATGGTTCTAAAGCAACCAGGAGAGCAAGTTAGCCAGGAGGTGCTGCGCCAGAAGCCACGCACGTGGCCAAACAGCGCCGACAGCATCCAGCCTGGTCCTGAGGGGTTCTGCTGAGCACAGAACCAGCTCCAGCTGGAACCACGGCAACCCACCTTCATGCCATCAGCATCCCGCCTCCGTGCTCGCAGCCCCTGCCAACCCGCGGCAGCTTCCCATGGGCTCCGGAGCTGTCCAGCATCCGCCCCAGCCATGCGGCACAAAATCCGAAAAGGTTTGCTTTCTTTTTTCGGCCGCCCTCCAAATGAACAGATGAACAGCTTGGTAACGGGCTCGAGGAACGGGTCACCGCCACGGGGTGCAAGAGGCACGCAGCACCCAGTGTGGGCGTCCAGGCAGAGGAGGGCACGGAGCCCATTGAGAGGATGGGGGGGCACACAGAAGGCCCCGCTGCTGCAAACTGCTCCGAAAACACTCTGACAGAATGCTTTGCTCAGCATGCACAGCTCTCGAGGAAGGATTTGAGAAGTCCGATGCATTCGGCTTTTGTTCCAAGTGGGGGCACGTGCAACACCTACAGTCACTACAGTAGAAAGTAATTATCGAGTGGTAATTGCCATCAAGTAAAGACAGACAGCACAGGGGGTCATAGGGGTGAGTGGTGAGACCAGGACTCCACCGTACAACTCTGCTGTTGGCTTTATCTCCTCATAAGCAACTCCCCCAAAAACACAAAACCATCTCCAGTGCTGGAAGCAGGCACCCAGCCCTGTAATTAATTCCCAAGGGCCTGATTCCTCCCGGACACATTGGTGTGGGCAGTGGGAGCAACATGTGCAGCTGGAGATGTGCAGACATCACTCCTTCCCTCTGAACGGGGGGGGGAAGAGCTGCTACACCTGGGGTTTGTAGGGAAATGATGTCAGAGCGTCCTGGAAAACCCACATTCCTTTTTTTAATCAAATTAAATGTCTTTAGAAAGCAATGCTTTAAGCCTCCATTTCTGAACCCCTTTTTAATCTCTGCAAATTACTGGTAGGAGGTGAATGGAGGCAATCTGCCGTCAGCCTGAGCGCAGCGCCGTAACTCGGCAATGGGCGGCTATGGCTGATGAGTTGGAAGGAACTACTGCCTGTAGGCGAGCGGCCGCAGAAGTAAATCAGCATTTATACAGGCTTATTGAAACGTGGCCCCCCAAAATCAGCCCCGAGCGTTGTGTCAATTGTGTCTCACCAAGGTCAGTATCTTCACTGTAATGGACACAGTCTAAAAGAGCAAGAACGATTCAGCGGTGGAAACGAGTGCCATCCGCCCCAAATATGCCGTTAGTAGCAGAAAGATAAGCCAAGCCATTATTATCAGAAAGACAAATCGAGCTCTGAAATAGCACCTGCACTTTGCAGTGATCATCAGTGGTGACCTGCACTGTGTGTGTCAGTGGGGAGCTACGGAAATAACCCCCAAATTAAAACTCCATCGTGGGATTTGTCGGTGGGCTCTTCGCTATCACTGCCTGCCTTATTGCAGTTCCTTTTATAAAAGCCTTTTGAAAATCTCCCTTTGGAATTTACTTGGCTGGAATTCTGCAGCTTAGTCAACCCATGCTATGGGAGCGGATGGTCCCGTTTTGCTTCTCACTTCCAGGTATGGAGCAATTCAGTTAGAAAATACACATTCTGTGATTAAGGATGACTTCAAGGGTGGGTTTGGGGTTTTTTTGGGTGTGAAAATGTGCCTTATCAATTGGATCTTCATTTTCACATGTATTCTAAAGCAATGAAACATTTTTTCCCGCTGGAAAATTCTGACTCACAGAAGTGAGGAAACAAAGGCACGAGTTGGGTTGGTGGAAAGACCAAAACAGCAAAGGGATAAACCACCTCAACACTGCATTCCAACCCGGACCTGCTGCTTCATACTGCCCCTGCCAACACTCTTTCAGTACAGTCGAGATGGGCAGCTTAGGAAACGATGGAAGAGATCATGACAATGCTGAGGGGTTGACCTATATAGATATAGACATAAAAATCATACTATTAATGAGTGAAGAATTCCAGGGTGCTCCTGGCGGGAGCAGCATATGGGCTGCATTTCTCCTGGCTGCACTCATCCTTCGGGGCTCAGCACTGTGGGGAGCACTGTGCACTCTGCAGCAGAGCTGTGAGATGTCCCCACACCATCCCTGCCAGGCATCCTTAGGGCAGATCCCCATAGGACATCCTTAGGGCAGGAGGGTTTGGGCCCTGAGGCTCTCCAGTCCCCTCCACACTTTGGCAGTGGGGCTGCGGATGCAGAGAGGGAGGAAATGCATGAGGAAAAAAAAAATAAACAGGAGCACCAGGAATTCTGCTTAAGGCCTGGAAAACCTGCACATGAACCAAGTTTTGTAGGTAAACTTGGTGGGGATAAAGAGTTCGGGATGGGTGAGTTAGTGAGAGAAGTAATGCACACACACCTCTGTCTGTGCTGAACTACTGGGATCAGAAAAAGGATGGATCCACAGAGATGGGATGTGGGGAGAGAATGGGATGGGATGAGAAGGGAAAGGGAACTGGAAAGGGAGAGGGAAAGAGATAAAAAGGGAGAAGGAAGAGAAAAGGAAAGGGAAGAGATGGGGAAGTATAAGAGGAATGTGAAGGGGAGGAGAAGAGAAGAGAAGAGAAGAGAAGAGAAGAGAAGAGAAGAGAAGAGAAGAGAAGAGAAGAGAAGAGAAGAGAAGAGAAGAGAAGAGAAGAGAAGAGAAGAGAAGGG